TAAATCTCTTCCCTAACAGCAACATAAATTAGGACACATTGCAATGCCTTGAGCATTCCTTATTTGAAATGCTTGGCACCAAGAATGTTTCATATCTCATTATTTTTCTAAATTTTGGAGTATCTGCATAGATAAGTTATCTTGAGAATGAAATTCAAGACTAAACATCAAAGTCATTTGTTTCACATATACCTTATAACAGTAAAGGTAATTTTGCAATCCTATTACACACAAGCCTTGGTTAGTACCAAATTGGCTCTACAGTTCAGTAAAAGCCCTTATAAATGTAATACTAATATTTCAGTACCTATTAAGACAATTTCTATATCATCTTTCACTTAATCTAGCCAGTTTGACGTTTCTGCATAATTGAAAAATTTTCTCCACTTAAAATTTGTTCTTAAAACATATAAAAAATAAAACCACTGATTTGTTTTTCTTCAAGTTGGTGACTAGCATTCTAACCATCCTTTTCTACTCTATACACCAAAAAAAAAAATGTTTAGTTGGACTACAGTATGACAAAATAACAATTCTTTATTTTCCTCTCCAACAAATTTAATGTATCCTAGATACTGCTTTACATAAATGTTCCTCACATCAGTGCTAAGTATGATATCTCTGTTTTCCTAGATGAACATGCAGAGGTTGAAGAGTAAGCAGCTGAGCCTGAATTCAAAACCAGAAAAGTGTGGGTCTATAGAATACCAAACAGTACCTATTCTTGTCTGAAGTGTGAAAACTACAGTCTAGAACAACGTATATGACTAAAAGCCTTACAAACCTAAAACCTTCAATAAAACAATTTCTTCACTGTTTTTAAAAGTTCAAATATACAAACTAAGGACCTAATAATTAAAACAATGTTACATCAAAGTCTAACACATCTCTGAAAAAAAGTCTGGAAGATGGCTGAGAATGTGACTTTAAGCAAATAGGAGAGTAAAAACGTAACTTAAAGCAAATTCAACACTAGGACAAATGTAAAAATGACTGATGTTCAAACAATGAAATCTAAATTCACAGGAGATAGCAATCACTGGTCATTAATATCCCTTAATATAAATGGACTCAACTCACTTATTAAAAAGGCACAGGCTAACAGATTGGATACAAAAACAGAATCTATCCTTCTTCTGCATACAAGAAACACACCTCAACCTCTTCGAAGACAGACAGACATCATCTCAGAGTAAAGGATTGGGAAAAAATATTCCAATCAAATGGACCTAAGAAACAAGTGGGTGTAGCTATCCTAATATCTAACCAAATAGACTTCAAGCTAAAATGAATCAAAAGAGACAAAGAAGGACATTTCATATTAGTCACAGGAAAAGTCCATCAGGAGGAAATCTCAATACTGAACATCTATGCCCCAAATACAAGGGCAAGCTCATATGTCAAAGAAACACTTCTAAAGCGTAAATCATACATTAAACCCCACATAGTAATATTCGGAGACTTTAACACTCCACTCTCACCACTGGACAGGTCAGTCAGACAAAAAATGAAGAGAGAAAGGAACTAAGAAATGTTATGACTCAAATGGATTTAGCAGACATCTATAGAATATTCCATCCAAAAATAAAAGGAAATACCTTCTCGCAGCACCTAATGGAACCTTCTCAAAAACTGACCACATAGTAGGTAACAAAACAAACCTCAACAAATACAAAAAATTTGGAACACCACCATGTACCTTATCAGATCACCATGGTTTAAAACCAGAAGACAACAGCAATACTAATTCCAGAAGCCCACAAACACATGGAAATTAAGCAAATGCTCACCTGAATCATCAATGGGTCAAGACAGAAATAAAGGGAAAAATTAAAGACTTCCTAAAATTGAATAAAAATGACCACACAACATATCTAAATTTACGGGACACAATGAAAGCAGTGTTAAGAGGAAAGTTCATAGCACTAAATGCCAACATAAAGAAGCTGGAAAAATCCCACACTAGTGAATTAACAGAACATTTGAAAACTTTAGAACAAAAAGAAGCAAACTCACCCAAGAGAACTAGACAGCAGGAAATGATCAAACTGAAAGCTGAAATCAACAAAACAGAAACAAAGAAAATACAAAGAATCAATGAGACAGAGTTGGTTCTTCCAGAAAAAAAAAAAAAATCAACAAAATAGACAAACCTTTATCTAAACTAACCAAAAAGCAGAGAGAGAATATCCAAACTAGCAAAATCAGAAATTAAAAGAGGGACATAACAACAGACACAGAGGAAATACAGAGAATCATCAGGTCATATTTTGAAAACCTGTACTCCACAAAATTGGAAAACTTAAAGGAAATGGACAACTTTCTGGATAAATATCACTTGCTAAAATTAAATCAAGACCAGATAAGCAAATTAAACAGACCTATAAGTGCTGAAGAAATAAAAACAGTCATCAAAAGTCTCCCAATCAAAAACAGTACAGGACCAGATGATTTCAGCTCAGAATTCTACAAGATTTTCAAAGAAGAATTAATATTACTACTCCTCAAATTACTCCACACAATAGAAACAGAAGGAACATTGCCAAACTTTTTATGAGGCTACAATTACCGTGATACCCAAGCAACAGAAAGACATTACTTTTCAAATTACAAACCAATCTCACTCATGAACATTGATGCAAAAATACTAAATAAAATATTGGCAAATCGAATTCAAGAACACATCAGGGGGGCTGGAGAGATGGCTCAGAGGTTAAGAGCACTGACTGCTCTTCCAGAGGTCCTGAGTTCAATTCCCAGCAACCACATGGTGGCTCACAACCATCTGTAATGAGGTCTGGTGCTCTCTTCTGGCCTGCAGGCATACATGGATGCTGAACACTGTGCACATAATAAATAAATCTTTAAAAGAAAAACACACACACATCAGAACCATTATCCACCATGATCAAGTCGGTTTCATCCCAGAGATGCAGGGATAAGGTTCAACATATAAAAATCAGTCAACGTAATCCACCATATAAACAAACTGAAAAACAAAAACCATATGATCATCTCATTAGGATCCTCAGCTTAACCTCCAAATGCTTAAAACAAGCAAACACACCCACACTTCATGCTCAAGCAAGACGAGATAAATGTAACACACCCAGGAAATCTGATGAAGAGCATACAGGAACTTTTTTTTTTTTAACTATTCCTTCAACTACTATTTAAGCTGAAATTATACTTGAGGATGGAGAGCTGGAGCAGTTGGTAAAGTGCCTATTGCATAAGCACATAAGCTTGAATTCTGATCAACTACCACATAAAAACTGGCCTCAATTGTTAACACCTATTATCCCAGTGCTAGCAAGGCAAACAGGCAAATTCCTGAAGCTCACTGGCTAGACAGCGTAGGCAACTGGTGAGCTCCAGGTTCGTAGGCAACTGGTGAGCTCCAGGTTCGGTGAAAGACCCTATTTCAAAAGACAGAGAACAAGCCAGGAAGACAGCAAATATCAACCTCTGGCTTCCACAGGCATGCATGTATGCATGTATACACGTATACACACACACACAGTCTGTGTCCCTCTCAAAAGATAGCAAAAACAATTAGCATTTGTGAACCAGAGCATAAATAAATACACATAAAGACAATACTGAAGTGGAAAGACTACAAATCAATGGTTCTCAGCCTGTGGGCTGAGTTATCCTGCATATCAGGTATTTACATGATTCATAACAGTAGCAAAATTACAGTTGTGAAACAGCAACAAAATAATTTTATAGTTGGGGTCACCACAACATGAGGAACTGTATTAAAGGGTTGCAGCATTAGGAAGGCTGAGAACCACTGCTATAGATGCTTAACATTTATGAAAATTTGAATAACAAAGTTGAGTATTCCTTATTTAAACTGCTTGGAACCAAGAGTGTTTCATCTCAATTTTTGTCTCATTTTGTGACGTCTGCATATATAAAATGAGTTATCTTGAGGATGAAATTCAAAGCTAAACATCAAATTCATTTATGTTTCACATATAACTTATAAACAGTGTAAAGTTCATTTTGTAAGTATTTCTAGTTTTCATTGTAACCTATTAGATATGGTCAGATATAAATTTTTTCCATGGGCAGCTTTATGTCGAGACCCAAAGGTTTCGGATTTTGAAGCATTTTCGATTTTGATTTTTCATATTAAAGATGCTCAATTTATGTAAATTAGCAGAAAATAGGATTTGGTAATGATAAAAGGTATTAAGACATGACTGAGTGTGGGGGTATAGGCCTATAATTTCGGGAGCCAAGGCAGGAACACCACAAGTTCAAAGCCAACCTTGAGTACACACTTGAAAACTAACCTAAGGGACATAAGTCCCTATTTCAAAAACAAAACCTAAACAACAAAACCCACCTCAGACTATAGGCAAGGCTACTAACAATAAAAGGTTGTATGCGCAAGATGCCAGAGATATATACAGTCAGAATCATGTGTCATGAGGTCATAAGAGTATATGTTACATGTCTAGGCTAAATGAAAAGACAATTTAAATGTTTAGTCTACCAAAGAAGAAAAAGTTTAAAGAAAGCTTATAGTTTAAGCTTTTAAAATATCTATCAAAGTTATGATGGTCAGTTTACTATATGCCAAAAAACTAGAGTATTATAATTACTAAGAATATCTTTATCTTTAATTGGGTCTTATAAACCGCAATCAGATATAGGAACTTTATATTAATAGTTTATTAAGACCATGAATTTAACTGATGAAATGCTCAACAGATTAGAATAAAAATATACCGAATACTATCTTAATAACCATAAAATCCTTGAATGAAGGCTTATATGAAATCAAGTCACATAGTAATAGAACTTCCTGAAATACTGTGAAAAATAAGTAGAAAGCATTAACTGTAACTTTAATACAAATCTGATACACATAAAGGGCCTAATGTTTATAGCATTAAATAAATTAAGTTAATGAAAATGTAAAATACAAAATAAACATCTACTCACAATTTTCATGCTGAAAAATATACTCAAACTTTTTTTTAAAAAAAAATATAGACCACTACACAAATTTGCGTGTCATCCCTGCACATCAGCCATACTAATCTTTTCTGTATCATTTCACTTTTAGCATATGTATTACCAAAGCGAGCACTAAACTCAAACTTCTATTCCAAAAAAGAAATAAAATGCATGTTTACAAATCTGCCCTAACAAAATATTTTAAATTTTTAAACATTCAAAAGATACTAGATTTACTTACTGGTCTTAAGGTCTTACTAATGTCAAACTCATCATCTTAAATGCATACTTTTTTCGTTTTAAGGCAAAAGTGAGCACTTTAATTATGAAGATAAACTAAACTTACCTTTTTATCTTCCTTTACTTTGTGGGGTTTCTTCTTCATCTTCTTATCATCTACCTCCTGGTCAGATGTGATCGCAGGATTATCAATACCACCTTTCCAAGTTTCAACAGGCGAAAGCAGTGGATCTTCTTCACTTCCACGATGTCTTCCTTTTCTTTTAGTTTTAGAAGTTGTGAAAGCCTCATCATCACTTGCATCTGAGTGTGTTCTTCTATAGTATGACTTGGCTTTACTAAACAAAGTTTTAGATTTATATTTGTATTTTGAAGGCCTACGTTCCCCATGACCTTTTGAGATTCTATCAGAAAACCCATTTTCTTCATCTCCTTGAGTGTTATTTACAAATGAGTTTCGAATTTTAATAATTCGATTCTGACTATCATCTGGGACAACATAAATCTCATCAGAATAGCCCTTCTGTTTGAAAATTGTATCAATGGGTTCCGCATAGTTATCTGAAGAATCCATATCTTCAGGATGTGCCACAGGTACCCGGGAAGTCTGTTTTCTTGGATTTTTACCAATACCGGCTTCTATTGTTTTTAAAAGGTTTGGATCCAGTTTTTTCACATTTGTTTTAGGTACAACAGGTTTAGGTTTAATAGGTGGAGGCACTTTATGGTTACGTTCATGATCGTGACAGTTTGGGGTGCTATGAATAGGATACTCATTTCCTTCCAAATCTAACCTATATCTGGAACGGTCACTGGGTGTTGGAAGCAATTGTACATCATCCCCAATTGGACTATAAGGAGGCGGAGCTTCTGTGTCATCATCTGAATCAGGGTAGTTGTTATAAGGAAAACAGTCTCTTGGAGATGGGAGAAAAACATCTTCACTTTGATGGGTGGATTCCCTTGTGTTATCAGACAAATAGGAATTTTCTATCATATTTTTTTTCTCTAGAACATCACTGAAAAACAGCGTAAAGACCTCAGTTTGCCGATGATACTGAGATAAAGAATACAATGCTGTAAATTTAGCAGTTATTTCCGTTGCAATGTGTTCTCCTTCAGTCATTAGCTCCTTGATAGCCTCATTTTCAAAAAAATCTGCTTGACTGTCAGTAACTGCCACCAGTTGTACAGGGATGGTATCTTGAACTTCTGACAGAAAGGCGCGAAGCATTCCCATTGATGCTTTCCGTTTTGCAGAATAAACTAATATATACCCATGAACCAGTTCATCTTTTCTTACTCCAATTGAAGAGTGGTATGACAATATTGTGATCTGTATCCGCCTCCTTTTTTCACCAATAATTTTGTCAAGCATTAAGGAATTATTTTGTCCAGCTTGAGCAGCACTGCAAGAATGAGAATCAAGGAAGGGTGAAAGAATGAGATCCACACTAAATGGATCACCACACATGGCACACATGACAATCCTCAAGTCAGCTTCGGACACATCCTTATTGATAGGAACTGGGCTCACCACATCTAAATTGTGTTTAACTGACTCCAATACTCCTCTTAGAGCTTGCTTTATTTGTGATTCATTAAATTTACGAGGATACGTACCAGTAGGTACATCTACAAAAGGACACTGCAATTTGTTGGCCAACTGCTGTCCTTGATGCCTGAGAATTGGTAGATTTTTACTAATGGAGTCCCTCTGATTAGCAAGAATTAATGTAAATGGAAGATTAGCCATATATTTATCTTTTCTGATCTGAGACGCTTCAGTTCTTATTTTTCCAATAAATTCCCCAATAAAACTCAGTGACTCAATGGAATTAAATACACAGAAGCACCCATGTGGTTTAAAGGCTGTAGTCCATAACTGACTCAAAATGTAAGGCGATTTGGCATCAACAGGCCGAAGATCAAGTTCATAAATTTTTCCATCTAAGGCATACTCATCATCAGTGGATTGAGTCCTTATCTCATTTGCTAGTTCCTGGGCAAGACCATCTTTCCCTAAAATGAAAAGATTAACTTTGTCTATATTGGTACTATCATGATACAAGCGTAGGCGGCCATGATCCAACTGTAAAAGACTACTGGCAAGTAAGTGCTCCACTTTAATGTCTGTACAATATTGGCCACTGAGGCAGGTTTCTTTAGTGGGATGATACACAAATCCTATATGCTTAAGGAGAAGAGATTCCCTATCAGGTGCGAGTTTCTGTAAAGCTTTATATCTAGGTTCTTCACTTAGAACTGTATGGATTTCACTCATTTTATCTGAACTTGGTGTTGCATTAAGATCTAAATCATAAAAAAGTTCCGAATGCTCAAAAAGCATTTCCTGAAACTCTTCTTTGGCTTTTTCAACTATCTCTCGCTGATGTCTACCATATACTTCTTTGCTATCAGCCTCAGTGATGTATTTGAATGCTTCATCTTCCATAACAAAACACATAACTTCCTCCCATGGTTGCCCAGGTGAAATGAACTGAATTTTTTCTAAAGTCTTCTTGAATTTTTCCTTCATTTCTATTCTTCTTTTCTCTGATATCAGATGTTGTACATGGTTCTGATACACCTTTTCTGCTTCTAAAGTTTTCAGAAGGTCGAATGGGATCCGCCTATCATTAATTTTGTCTATATGGTCAGTTTCATCCCAAGGTGTTTTTTCTAGCACCACGAAGCATAACTGGAAATCAGCTCTCTTTTCCATTAACTTCAAAGCTTCCAACCAATTCAAATGCTCAATCTCTTCTAGATCAGGCAAGAGAATATTAAAAGCCCTTGGCAAGGTGCTTATATATTCTTCTCTCCTTTTTCTTATATGTTCCTGCTTGAGTTGTTCTATATGCTTTGAGAATGTATTTCTGGCCTTTCTTGTTCCCTCTAAGTTGATATATTCTTCATAATCAGGATGATTTTTTAATTTATTACTAACAGTTTTCCAAGTTGCATGATAATCTCTCACAGTCTGTACAAGTTTTTCAAACTTATCTGTTGCTGTGACAACAAGTTGTCTCTGTGTTTTATAAGCATCCAGATAGGGAATAATTTTAGGTTTGCCACGAGTTTTATCCAACATTTGTACCAACGCAGTGAAACATGTCTCAATGTTGACATTAAACCGTGCTGATGTTTCCACTACAAGGAGGTTCTTTTTATTTGAAGCAAACGCTTGAACTTCTCTAAGATAATGATCCACACATTCATCACACTTAGTTGCTGCTATTATCACAGGCTTTTTGGATTTTGAAAGCTGGACAAAAAGGTTATTCACAAATTTAAGTTGATCGTCAAACTTTCTATTACATCCTTGACTTACATCAATACACAATAAAAATCCATCTACATTGAGCTTCCCTTCAGGCATTTGTTTCTGTTCAAAGTCTTGCTCCAAACCCAGCTGATCGGTGCAAATGTACATTAGTTTTTCTGCTGACTGCAATTTAGAGGCAGCTGCACGTTTTATATATGGTTGTAAATTTGTACTTCGATGAGGCAAGAAAGTCTGGTCATCAATGAACTCTGTTTGTTCAATGACATGGATTTTGCATTCTACTCCATCTTCACCATTTTGTGTTATATCACCCCAGTACAAAAAGTGATCATTGTTTACTACGCGGCCTCCAAAGTCAATGGTGCTAAGCACAGAAGTATGCTCTGGATAATATTCATCTGCTTTTGAGCGTACAAATCTATTGCACAGACAAGATTTTCCAACTCCACAGTTACCTTTGTCTTTTTCAGTCCCCGAGAGTCCAACTACACTGACGGTATAGGATGGGGGACGAGGCTCTTTGTTTTTTGCCATCATAACTCTTTTCTCATGTCTCTACATTCAAAAAGGCAACCATATATAGTTTTCATTCTGAAAATAAAACCATCTCAAAATACAGATCCTGAATTTCAGAATTATATTTGGTTCTTTGTAGTTCCTTCATCACCAAAGAAAGGTCTTCGAGATCATATGGATCATCTTCCTAGAAAGAGAAAAAAAAATGAAAATCTTATGTAAGTTTTGTGAGTACAAAGTAAAACTGTCCACAGCAAAGTATTATGTAAACCAAAAATTGTAATGATATTGCATATATGTAAAGAAACCACACAGACAATTTATAATTTACTTTTACAAATGTACAATGGCCTCAAATTTTAAGGTAAAGCTAACAAAATAGTAAATATATAAATCTAATGGCTTATAAGCTTTAAAATGAACTCTCTGCTTCTAATTATACTATCCTACAGATTTGAGGAAATAACAAATCTTTTCCACTAATTTCATTTTCCTTCCTTCCATAACATGCTAGTAGTAACTACACTGTACTGCTTTCTCAACTGCCTTACAACTCGTATTCAATTTTGCTTTTTACTGTATCAGGAATAGAATCAAGGCCCTAACCCTAGCATGCTCTACACAACTCAACAGCTGCCTTTCCAGCCTCAGGACTTTAAAATATAAAATAACCAGCTTCAGGTAACAGAACTCCTCAAAACCTATTTCCCCAAGATTTTTAAATTTTAGGGTTTTATGTTTTGTTTTCAATAAGTTTCAACACGCCTGTGAAACCTATTAGATTTCACACTCCTCCCAAAATTGAGAGAACATAGCAGAGCAAAGAACAGAAGAAAAGGTGGAAACAAGTTAATACTGTAGAAAATTTTTAACTAAAACCTATTCTCTAGCAAAATGTTCATACTTTTAGTAATATCTCTTATATAAGGTTATCCAAATACAACGTAACTCTGGATAATATGGCTCACTGAGAGTTCAGACTTGGGGCTGGGAGATGTAGCTTAGTGGTAGACAACTTGCCTAATATTTATGGGCCCTTGGTTTTGATGCCCCAAAACAGCACATTCACTTCCGCTCTCCTATAGCAA